GGAGCAAGAACAATGGTAAATAGAGGAAGCCATAGCCCTCCGGTGCCCAAGCTTCTGAGAGGGATGACAGGCCAGACTGGTCTCTACTGGTGCCAAAGGGGCCACCCCCAGCCTCCTGGAATCCCTGCACACATGCTCTCCCTGTCTCTCCCAAGAACCTTTGTCTTTGTCTACTCATGGCTTCTGGGTTTGTCCCAATGCAACCCAGGGCCTGATTTTCCAGAAAACACATATCTACTCCTGCAACCCGCAACATTTTTTTTTTTCTGTCCTGAGCCAGAACCCAGGGCCTTGAACAAGCCAGGCAAGTGCTCTCCCTGTAACTTCCTCACACCAGGGCTCCCTTCGGCCTCTTCTAGATCCATGGGGTCTGTGTCTGCAGAGAAGAAGCCTAGACTTTTCTCCCAGTGACTCATGGGCACTTTCAAAAAGTGCAGTTTTGCCAGGTGTGGCACATGCCTGTCATCCCAGCACTCAGGGAGCTGAGGCAGGAGGATCACCACGAGTTCCAGGCCAGCCAGGGCTACATAGTGAGTTCAAGGGCGGCCTGGACTACTGCATCAAAATACAACAAAAAAGCAGTTTATTGACACCTAAATCGCATCCCGCACAGTATATCCTTTCACACTGTCCTGCCCAGAGCTTCCTAGTACACTGCACAGTCACATGACCACCACCACTCATTCCTCCCCATTTGGGTCACCTTTGACAAGAACCCTGTACCCACTGAACTGACACTGCCCCGTCTCCCCTCAAACCTCCCAGTCCCTGGCAACCACGAATCTCCTTTCTATCTCCATGGCTTTGACTGTCCCACACCATAGGACCTTTTGTTTTTGGTACCGGGGATTAAACTCGGGTCCTTGCGCTTAGGGGGCAGGTGGTGGAACCACTGAGCTAAATCCCTGGCCCGCCATAGGACCTTTTGTGTGTGGCGCATTTCATGTCGGAAATGCTCAAGGTGACTCCACCGCATAGCATGGATCAGGGCAAAATTCTGGTTCCAAAGGCTCCACTATGTGACAGACTACATAGTCTGCCCCACTCAGCAGTCGATGGGCTGTTGGGAATAACGCTACTGTGAACCTTGGTGGACAGGGAGCTGAGGGCCTGCTTTCAATGCTTTTGGGCAAATATCTAAAAATGGAAGCGGGGGGAGCTGCAGCCCACGGTGCCACACCACCTCGCACCCCCACTTTTGAGGCAAGGCAAGAGGGTTCGGGTTTCTCCACTGGCTTAACAACACTTGACACTCGCTATTTTCTGCTCATCCCTTAGGGCCATCCGGCTGGGTGTGAGGTGGAGTCTCATTGTGGCTTTTCTTCCCTTCAGCTGGGTTTATTTTTTTGCCCTTCTGCCTCAACCCTCATTGTGACAGCATCTTCCCTGTGGTTGTGGCCTGGTGGCCCTTTGCACAGCTGCTATGGAGAGCTGTTTGTTTCAGTGGCACTGGCCTGCCGCGCAGTTCCTGGAGCCCAGCCGAAGTTTGCAAATCAGGGAGACCGAGCCCTGCGGCTTCGGGCGTCTTCTCCAAGCTGGTGTGAGCTGTGCTGCGTCACTAGGATCCTTGCGAATGTGGGGACCAGCTTGTGAATTTCTGAAGATGAGCCAGATGGGACTGTGACAGAGATTGCACTGAATTTATGGGATTGCCCACAAACACAGGGTGTTTTTCTGTTTATTTGAAATTACAACCACATCTTCCTCTTCTTTTTTTATTTTTATTTTTTTTGGTACCGGGGATCGAACTCAGGTCCTTGCGCTTGCGCAGCAGGCAGTGAAATCACTGAGCTAAATCCCCCGTCCTCTTGCACTTCTTTTGTTAAACTTTTTCCAGTATTGGATTCTTTCCGATGCCTACCTCAAGGAAACTGTTCCCAACATTTCGGTTTTGGCTTCCTCACCACCACTGTACGGGAGGAAAATGTCCTGCTGTGGTCCATTCCTGTGGCCCTGGGGTGGCCCCATGGCTGGTTCCTGTGTGTGGACCCTGTGTTCCGGTCTGCCTTGACCTTTTTCTTAGAGCTTCTAGTGTGTCTGTACGCTTTCCCTCATGACACTGATGAGGAGAAATGGTTTCTTTTGCCTTTCCACGCAGCTGCATCCTCTCTGGATGAGCTTGGTACAGGCGCAGGGTGGCATGGACAGGCCTGCTGGGGCGCCGGGCCCTGCTGCTGACCGGGGGACAGGCACCAGCCTTCCCCTGCGGCTGTGGGGCTTGTTATTGTTTTTATAGTGCAAGACATTTGTTGAATTTTGTCAATAGCCTTTTCTGTGACCATTGTGATGATTGCATGGTTTTGGCCCCTCATTCTATCGACACAGTCTGCCACTGGCTCTTAATGTGGCCCCTCAGAGCTGCAGGCCCATTTCCATGCCCTGAGCACACTTATTCAGGCAGCTGTGTATGTGGGAGGTGACAGGAAAATCCAGGGCCACCCTGGAAAAGGACTTGGAAAAAGAAAGTGGGAAAGGGAAAAAAAAGGGCTGGGGATGTAGCTCAGTGGCACAGCACCTGCCTGGCAAGCATGAAGTCCCGAGTTCAATCGCCAGTACCAAAAAAAAAAGAAAGTGGGAAGGCCCCAAGGTACCAAATACTTTCCAGAACCTTCGCTGGCACCCCCCCTTGCCCGCCACCCCTTCCCTCTTGTCCATGCTGCTGACTTTGTCCCTCTCCTGCCAGCCTGCTGTCCCTGGACTTGCGGTGACACTTCACACTGGGCCCGGGGAGGTGCTCAGAGGGGAAATCCTGGGACCAGGGCTGCTGTAGGCGGCAGTACCCCAGAGGCCTCAGGAGAGGGGACTCTCAGGACAGTCCAGACACAGCTCCTGATGGCCTCCCAGGTGTCCTCCCCTGCAGCACCTGTGGAGGCAGCCACCTCCCAGTGCCGGGGACCCAGCAGGGGACACACCGCTTCTGTCACAGCAGGAACTCAGGTCTGACCGTGAACCACTGCCTCCTTCCCCAGAAGGGAGTCACCATGGCAGGGATGGATGGAGGGGTTGGGACTGAATTCTCACAGCCATCTCCTGGACAGGGACACCCTATTTTGGCTACTGTCCCAATATATTTTTTTTAATTGTGTGTTTTTGAGATATGGTCTTGCTATGTAGTTCAGGCTGGCCTTGAACTCATTATGTAGCCCAGGCTGGCCTCAAATGTGTGGTGACTCTCCTGCCTCAGCCTCACAAGTGCTGAGATGACACAGGTGCACCACCGTGCCTGGCTGTCCCAAGATATTTATTGCCCCTTCCATCCTTACCCCAGAGGTTCTGAGGACTGTCCGACCCATTGCCATAAGATTCAGCAGAGACAGGAAGCACAGAGACAGTCATGGGGATAGGCAGAACGGCACGTGGACCCTTTGGGAGACACAAGCAGTGGCTGCTGTCTGCACACGGCACCTTCCGAACATGTGCAGCCACACTCACGCATATGCACCCTAAAGGAAAGTGAGCCCGGGCTGCTGCTGGGTGGCTTTAGTCCTCACTGTCTCCTACTTTTGTGTGCTGTGGCCATGGGACCTGGGGCCAAACTGTGGCTCTGTGTGGGGCCAAAGGTGG